CTGAGTACATATATTTTCGTGCACATATTTTATATGCACATATGTGATTTGAATGAACATTGTTTAATAAGCTTGACCTAATGAACATGCACTCAGTAACTACAGAATTCACATTCCATTTCACGTGTGTATTAAACACTTGCCAAAATAGGCCATGGAATTCGTCTTAATATATTTTAAAGGATTAGTTTTACAGAATATATTATCTGTCCCCAGTGGAATTAAGGTTGCAATCTGTAATAGAAAGATAACAGGGAAATCCCAAATGTTTGGAACGTGAGCAGTAACTTTATATGACATCACAATGAAATGATCAAAATACAAAAAAAAAAAAAAAGAAAGAAATTTAAAATCAATAAACAGTAAATATCAAAGCTGAAAATTATTTTTATAGACCATTAAAACTGATAAATCCTTAGTGATAAGTTGTTAAAGACAAAGGTAAAAGCAGAGTGTGTTACAAATCTAGAAATGAAAAATAGCACATCCCTATAAAACCCATAGCCATAAAAAAGATTACGAGAGGATGTTATGTACAACTTTATGCTCATATATTTCAAAATTTTGATGAAATGGTCAAATTTTTATATAATCCGTAACTGTTAATGAAAGTAAATCTTTAAAAACCTTTTCACAAAGAAAATTTCAATCCCAGGGGTTAGGGAGGGATTACTTAAATAATACACTAAATGTACCGTAAGCAAAGTGAACAAACTGTAATGTGTTAAGAATGAGAACTTCTGTTCATTCCAAGCCATCCTTGAAAGAGTGAAAAGGCAAGCCACAGACTGAAAGCATATTTGGTACATATCTGATAAGGGAATCATGTCTAGAATATATGAATTTCTACCAATTCAAAAATCCAGTTAAAAAAAAAGAGCAAAAGATTAGAACAGACTTTTCACAGCAAAAGGTTAGACATTTCACAAAGATACCCAGATAGCTAATAAACCTGAAAAAGCTCTCAACTGCATTAATCATCAAGGATATGCAAATTAAAACTGCAGTGAAATACTAACATATAGTCATTAGAATGCCTAAAATGTGAAGGACATCTTGAAGTGTTGGTGAGGATGTAGAACAGCAAACTTGTATACAGCTAGTGGAGTAGAAATTGGTACTACCACTTAGGAAATTTTTGATATATTTTAAAGTTGAATGAATCAATAGGTTTTTTTGTTTTTTTGTTTTTGTTTTTTTTTTTTTTTTTTTTTTTGAGATGGAGTCTTGCTCTGTCCTCCAGGCTGGAGTGCAGTGGTGCAATCTCAACTCATTGCAACCTCCACCTCCCAGGTTCAAGCGATTCTCCTGCCTCAGCCTCCTGAGTAGCTAGGATTATAGGCACATGACACCATGCCCAGCTAATTTTTGTAGTTTTAGTAGAGACAGGGTTTCACCATGTTGGCCAGGCTGATCTTGAACTCCTGATCTCAGGTGACCTGCCCACCTCGGCCTCCGAAAGTGCTGGGATTACAGGCGTGACGTGAGCCACCATGCCTGGCTGATTAATAACTCTTTGACCTGACACTTTTACTCATATCTGACCAAAATGTGTGCACTTATGCACCAAAACATATGCAGAATGGCCACTGAATTGTTATTTGCAGTAGCCAAAATGGAGACAACACAAGTAGCCATTCATATTAGAATGGATTAACAAATTGTTTATTCATACAAAGGGATGCTATGCAATGAAAAAGAACAAATTACTGCTATATGCGAGAACATAAAAATCTCACAAACATAATGTTGACTGAAAGAAGTCAGATAGTAATATATATTCTGTGATTCTATTTACATCTAGCTAAGCCAGAAAAAGCTCTAATCCTTTGTTAGAGGTCAAGATAGTAGCTACTTGAAGGATGGAGGGTGTAGTGACTGACAGGGTGCATAATGCAATTTCTGATAGTTTTTATCTGAGTTTTGGTTACATGGGTGTGTTCATTTGGGGCCAACTCATTGAAACTATATGCTTGCGAACTTACTATTTGTTACTGTTTGTGTACCTTTAAGTGGATATTATACATCAAGAAAGTTAAAAAAAAAAAAAAAAAAAAAAAAAAAAGGAAAGCCCATGTGGCTTACTGGAGAGAAAGTGAGAAAGTGGGGATTGGTAGACTATAAAATCAGGAAGGTAGAAAGGGACCAGATCATATGGGACCATATCAGGCATGATAATATTTTAGTGTGATGGGAAGTCACTGGAGACTTTTGGGCAGGAGAAGGACATGAGATGTTTTACATTTGAATAAGCGTGCTTTGACTGGTATGGAGATGATAGATTGTGGCAAGAGTAGAAGCAAGATACACTAGCCCGGGCAAGAAAGGATAAAGGCTTCAAGTAGGGTTGTAATGGTGTGGGTGGTGAAAAGTGGCCCAGTCCAGGATATATTTTGAAGTTAGAGCTCTCAGGATAGTTCATAGATTACATTGTGGGGTAGGAAGGAAAGAAGGTAATGCTGAGATGTTTGACCTGAGCGGCTTGGTAAATTGTGGTGCTATTTACTGAGATGAAGACAGAGGGAGGAGCACACTTAAGCAGAAATCAAGAGATTTACTTTTGATGTGTGAAGGTTGAGATACTTAGTAGACATTCAAGATGAGATGTTAAATAGCTGAGTAGAGAAATCAGGGATGGGGAAATAATTTATTAGTGTTTTAGGTGGTGCTTAAAATCCTAGGGCTGGAAGAGATCTCCTAGGGAATGAATGTAGACAGGACAGAGTTCAGTGGGGTAGAGTGAAGTGGAGTAGAAAGATGGCATCTAATTATTGTGGCAGATCAACACTTTGATATCAGGGAGAAATGAAGAGCAAACTAATGAGTTAGATTTCAAAATAGGAATGTATGGTGTCTCAAAATCCAGTAAAGCATTTCATAAAGTAGGAATGAGCAACTGTCATATTACTGAGCTGTTTAGCTAGTGGTCAGCTTGATGAAAAATGAGATTTGACTACTGGGTTTGGTAGGTTTGGGGGAGAGTATTTGGGGAGAGTAGGAATTGGAATAAAGTATTGTATTTGGAGAATGAATCTGTATAAAAATTAGCTAATACAATAAAACTTGAAGACTTTGGAGCCTTTTTAATCTAGCAAAGGAGTATCAGCTAAGATTAATGGTCAAATAAAATGTAAAATCAAATTTCAGAAGTTAAGGGGGACTGCTTACAAGTAACCTATAATAGATTCTTTGATGTAAGATAGAAAAATTAGTTATGAATCTGCCATTAGGGTTTTACATTTGAAATGGTTCAGCGTATTCCTAGTATCTTCAAGTGAAGTGGCTTGACTATTCTGAACCTTCATCTTTATTAAAAGGCTTTAAAATTGGCTCTTAATGATACTTTTGTCCGTGGTCTCTTATTCTGATAGTTTTTCATTAATAACTTTTTACTCAAATCCTGATGTCTTTTCTTTAATTCACTATTATCAGCCAATGCTGAAACAAAACATACTATGTAATACAAGGTAACGAATGGAATCAATGGATCAATTACTCTGCATGGATCTGTAGTTTCTATGTGAAGTAATACGGGGCTTTTAAGTTTCTTTTTCCATAGAGTTCAGGAGGTGGAGAGGGCCCTCTGTAGAGAATTTGGTCTGTTAGGTTGTTCTTTTGTAAAGGAGTTAAGATTCCAGAAGATGTGATGGGAATGGCTAGTCAGGGACACCAGTGTTAGGAGGTTGTGTTGGGAGGGAAAGCACAGGACAGTATTTCAGTGAATATATGCTGGGGGCCCAAATACTTATGTTGTGTGTTGCTGACGACAGGATCTAGGTCTAGTTCTAACGGAAAATGTGGTAAAGAGACATTTTAATTTGGAAAGAACAGAGACTCACTCAAAAAGATCCTCAAAAGAGAATGGGGCAGTTATTAGACAAGTTCAGGGACCATAAGCATTGCTTATGTTCCTGAAAATTGGACTGCAGGTGTGGGCTTAAGGCAAATTTAAGTTGTGTGTTTATTTTTCTATCTCCGCTTCTTTTTATGTGTTTGTTTTGTCTTCTGTCTTGTACAGACTACAGCATTCTCAGGGTTTTTTTTTTTTTTTTTTTTTTTTTTTTTTTTTTGTCTCTACCGCATACAATAACAGCTTTTACTTGGCTATCATGTTATCTTTAACTCAAATGTCAGATGACCTTTAAGCTTCACTGCCTGTCATCAGCTGACAACTGCGCACTGTGTTTTAGTTTAAGTACCTAGGAGTAAGAACCTTGTCTAATTCACCCCTGCCCCTTTGCGCCCCAGGCCTCTGAATTCTGGTTAGTCTCCATTGGCTGCCCTTGGGTCCATTGCCCATCCCTAGTTCAGCCCTTCCTGGGGAAAGGAAAAAAAAGTCTCTGGGAAGAGCAGATTCCCTTAGAGAAAAACAGTGATTGAGCAGGCAGTGGCCTTCTCTAGTATGTCTTCTTACCTTAGAGGTTTTATGATTAATTGAAATTGTGAAAGCTTAAAATTTTGGAGGAATGGCATGAAGCCTCCATGGCTAGTGGAATGAGTGCGGGAAGAGTGATGGGAGATAAAGTCAAAGAGTTAGGCTAGGCCAGGTGTTGTAGAGCCTTGCAGGCCATGGAATAGAGTGTGACTTTTATATATGTATAGTTGTATATATTATTATATATAAAATATGTATCAGATAAGTATATACATTTGTTCAAATATAAGAAATACATAGGGAAAAAAATCTGTGGGTTACTTACCAAATTGATAATAGCTATGTGTCTCTGTGGAGGAAGAGAATGACCAGACTAGGATGGGTGTGTGGTCAGACTTCATGTGTAAATGTTTAATAAAGGGGAATATAGTCATGTGCTGTTCGTGGAATTCAAAGTTAATTGAAGGAGGTGGGGACAGCCTATCCCTGAAGCAAGTTCCTGTGGAGTATAAAGATAATTTACTTGCTTCGTACTTTGTAATGTAATGTTTGTAAGTTTGTGAATTGTTTGCTTTTTAACAATATTTTTAATCCCCCCCTTTCTTTTTTTGCCTTTTTTCTCTAGGGAGTTGGTCTCTCAGTCCATGGGCAATTTCGAGTGGCTACAGAAAAGTGTCTTTTTGCTATGCCAGAAACAGCAATAGGTAACAACCAGAATTTTTTTAATAATTACTTTTAGCATCATCTTCTTTTGATACATTTCAGAGTTTACTATTGTTGAAGGAATTGAGGAATCTTGTGTGAGATACAAGGAAAGGATTTTAAAAAAGAAATTAAAGAGGAAAATAATTAGAAGTCAGTATCAGCTCAATAATTGTATCTGAAAACACAAAACTGAGAACATTAAAGGAGACAACACACTATAAATAAAACATTAACACTATAGATAAGATATCATTAAGGGAATATATTTTTGCCTTTAGATCTGTGCAGTTTTGAGTTCTGATCAAAACTCTCATATGACACTTTTGAGTTAATTTTTGTATATGGTGAGGGGTATGGATCATCTGTATAAGTCAAAGTTTATTTCGTATATGGAAATACAATCATTCCAGTACCAACTGTTGAAAGAGTATTGTTTTGCCACCGAATTGTCTGTGTAGCTTTGTTACAGTTGTCTGTAGATGTCAATCATGGTTGTTGTCTTGGTTAGTGTTGCTTTATAGTAAGTCTTAAAATCAGGTGGTGATAATGTTCCACCTTTGTTCTTTGTATCTCACCAAGTTGCTTTGGCTGTATAGGTTCTTTATATTTCCATATGTATTTTAGAGTTACTTGTCAATTTCAACAAAAAAGCCTGCAGGTGAATTTAGAGAGAATTGACATCTTAACACTATCGAGTCTTTTCAGACCTGTGGTCAAGATATATTTCTCCATTTATGTAAGTGGTCTTTAATTTCTCTGAGCATGGATTTTTAGTTTTCAGTTTATAGGTCTTATCTTTTGTCATATTTATCCATAAGTATTTCATATTAATGATATTTTTGAAAAAGCTTTCAGTTCTAATTGTTATTTACCAGTCTGTGGAAATACAGTTGATTTTTGTATTTACCTTTATCATGCAGACTTATTAAACTCACTTATTAGTTTTAGTTGCTTTAGAATTAAATAGAATTCGATTCTACTGTACTGGAATTCCTAAAGAGACAGTTATGTCATTTACAAGTAACAGCAGTTTTGCTTTTTCCTTTCTAACCTGGATACCTTTTATTTCTTTCTCTTACCCTATTGCGTAGAATAGAACTTCCAATATAGTGTTGAATATAAGTGGTGAGAGTGGACATCTTTTCCTTGTTCCTGATTTTAGGGGAAAGCATTTAATCTTTTACCAATTAAGTTAGATATTAAGGTATATGTTTTTCATTTAAGATCAGGAACAAGACAGTGATTCCTGCTCTCATTGTTTCTATTCAATACTGTATTGAAAGTCCTTGCCAGAGCAATTAGGGAAGAGAAGGAAATAAAAAGGATCCAAACAGGAAAAGCAGAGGTGAAACTGTCACTGCTGATGACATGCTCTTATATATATATATGTAGAAAACTCTAACAGCTCCAACAAAAAACTGTTTGAACTAATAAGTAAATACAGTAAAGCTGTAGGATATAAAATCAACACATAAAAATCAGCATTTCTATACACTAACAGCAAACTATTTGAAAAATAAGAAAACAATTTCATTTACAAAAACATCAAAAATAATAACATACTTAGAAATAAATGTAACGCCGGGCGGGTCAAGTGTAATCAGCATTGGGAGCGAGGGGGGATCAAGGTCGGAGATCGGACCACAGTGAAACCGCTAAAAATACAAAATAGGGGGGGTGGCGGGGCCTGTAGTCGTATCAGGGGCTGAGGCAGGATGGGGGACGGGAGGCGGAGCTTGCAGTGGCGGATCGGCCACTGCACTCCAGCTGGAACAGTAACTCGTCTAAAAAAAAAAAAAAAAAAAAATGTAACCAAGGAGGTAAAATCTGTATGGCAAAACCCCATCTCTACAAAAATAACAAAAAGTAGTTGGGCGTGGTGACGTGCGCCTGTGGTCCCAGCTGCTCAGGAGGTGGAGGTAAAAGGATGGTTTGAGCCCTGGAAGCAGAGGCTGCAGTGAGCTGAGATCACGCCACTACACTGTAGCCTGGGCAATACAGCCAGACCATGTCAGACACATACACACACACAGACACATACACACAGACACACACACACACACACACACATCTGTATACTGAAAACTACAAAACTGATGAAAAAAATTGAAGACTCAAATAAAAAGATGTATTCCATGTTCATGGATTGGAAGAATATTTTTAAAATGTTCATACTACCGAAAGTAATCTACAGATTCAATGTAATCCCTATCAAAATCCCAATGTCAGTCTTCAAAAAAATAGAAAAAACAATTCTAAAATTCATATGGAACCAAAAAAGACTGCAGATAACTAAGGTAATCTTGAGCAAAAAGAACAAAGCTAGAGACTTTGTACTGACTTCAAACACTATTGCAAAGCTTTAGTGATCAAAATAGCATAGTACTGGAATAAAGATGGATACATAGACCACTGGAAAAGAATAGCAAGCTCAGAGACAAATCCATATATTTGCCGTCAAGTGATTTTTAAGAAAGATGCGAAAAATACATAATGGTGAAAGGACAGTTTCTTCAATAAATGATGTCAGAAAAACTGGATATCCATGTGCAGAAAAATGAAATTAGACCCATACCTCATATTATATTTAATAAAAAACTGAAATGGATTAAAGATGTAGTCATACAACCTGAAACTGCAAAATCACTAGAAGAAAACATATAGGAAAATGATATGACATTAATCTGGGCAGTAATTTTTTTGCTTTGACCCCAAAAACTCAGGCAACAAAAACAAAAATACACAATTTCCTTTGAATCCATCCAACATCCAGTCTACACTGATGCAAGGGGTGGCTCCCAAGGCCTGTGCACAGACAAGTAGAATTACATCATGTAAAATGCTTCTAGAAGCACAGCAAAGAAAACAGTTAGCAGAGTGAAGAGGCAACGTCTTCCAATTTCTGCTTGTTGCCTAGTTCCCAAGTCACTTCTACATTTTCAGTTATCTTTATAGCAATGCCCTACTTCTCTGGTACCAGTTTTCTGTATTAGTCCATTCTCACATTGCTATAGAGAGCTACCTGAGACTGGGTAATTTATAAAGAAAAGAGGTTTAATTGGCTCACAGTTCCACAGGCTGTACAGGAAGCATGACTGGGGAGGTCTGCAGAAACTTATAGTCATGACTAAAGATGAAGGGGAAGCAAGTGCATCTTCACGTGGCTGGCAGGAGAGTGAAGGGGGAAGTATTGCACACTTTAAAACAACCAGATATCATGAGAACTCACTATTATGAGAACAATGGGGGGACATCTGCCCCCATGACCCAATCACCTTCCACCAGGCCCCTCATCCAACACTGGGGATTACATTTCAACATGAGATTTGAGTGGGGACGCAGAGCCAAACCATATCAGGGCCTTTCAAGGAATTTGTCAATTTGTTAGCATAAAGTTGTTCGTAATTGCTTTTTTGTATATATCCCCTGAAGTTCACGTGTTGGAAACTTAATTCCCAACTCAGCAGTGTTGAGAGTTGGGACCACTAAGAGGTGAGTGGGTCATGAGGGCTCTTCCAGTTTTTGCAGGTTGGTTCCCGATACAGGGATAACTTCAGCCCCCTTTCCTCCTGCTCTCTTGTCCTATCTCACCCTTGCCTTTTGCCATGGGATGATGCACCAAGAAGGCCCTCGTGTGATGTTGACACCATGATATCGGACTTCCTAGCCTCCAGAACTGTGACAAATAATTTTTTTTTTCTAAATTACCCCAGTCTGTGGTATTCTGTCATAGCAACACAAAATGGACTAAGACAATAATATTCCCTTATTATCTTTTTAATATCTGTAGACTCTGTAGATATTTCTGGCTCTCATTCTTGATATTGGTCATTGTGTCTTCTCTTTTTCTCCCTGATCAATCTAGTTAGAGGTTTATTAATTTTATTGATCTGAAACAGATTTTTGTTTTCATTTATTTTTTATTTTGCTGATTTCTGCTCCAGTATTCATTCCTCCTTTTTTTCTGCTTATTTTAGATCTTGTTTGCTCTTCTTTCATTTCCTCAGGTGAAACCTGAGTTCACTTGTATGAGATGTGGGTATGGAATTTGATTCTACTCTGGTTTTTAATTTCAGTAATTTAAAGATGTTACTACACTGTCTTCTCATTTAATTTCCTACAAAAAGTCTTTTCTCTTCTTTATTTTTGTTCCTGTGTCTTTTTATTTTCTCTTGCTGCTCTTAAGATTTTCTCTTGATCACATGTTTCAGGCCATTTGGTTATGATGTGCTTTGGTGTTCTTTGTATTTCTAATGCTTATGGTTGTTGAGCTACTTAGGTTTATAATTTCTGTCAAATTTGGAAAAATTTTTGCCATTATTTCTGCAAATATTTTTCTTCCACCCATTCCCTTTTCAGGAGTTCTGGTCATACTTCTGTAAGGCTCACTTATGCTTTGTTCATTAAAAAAATTTTTTTTCTCTCTTTCATTTTAGATAGTTTCTGTTCCTATGTCCTTAAGTTCATTAATCTTTTCTTCTACAAGATCTCATCTGCCCTTAATCTCATCCAGGTATTTTTCAGCTTATACATTCATTTCAGTTTTCATCTCTAGAAGTATGATTTTTTTTTTTTTTTTTTTTTTTTTTTTTGAGACGGAGTCTCGCTCTGTCACCCAGGCTGGAGTGCAGTGGCTGGATCTCAGCTCACTGCAAGCTCCGCCTCCTGGGTTTATGCCATTCTCCTGCCTCAGCCTCCCGAGTAGCTGGGACTACAGGCGCCCGCCACCACGCCCGGCTAGATTTTTGTATTATTTAGTAGAGACGGGGTTTCACCGTGTTAGCCAGGATGGTCTTGATCTCCTGACCTCGTGATCCGCCCGTCTCGGCCTCCCAAAGTGCTGGGATTACAGGCTTGAGCCACTGCGCCCGGCTGGTTCTTTTTTTAAAAAGAAAAATCTTCTGTGTCTCTATTTAACTTCTTGGATATAGAGGTTATGTTTGTGATAACTGTGTTAATGTTTTTTTCTGCTAGTTTTTATATTTATGTCAGTTCTCTTTTTTTAAATCACCTCTTTATGGTTAGTATTTTCCTGCATCTTTAGATAGCTCATAATTTTTTATCGAATTATAGATATTGTAAACTTTGTTGGGTGCTGGATATTTTTGTATTCTTTTAAGTATTTTTGAGATTTCTTCTGAGATGAATTTAAATTCCTGGGAAACATCTTAATGTTTTCAAGTGTTATAAGATTTATTATTAATATTTTTTTGCAGGATTGGAGCAATGCTCCAACTAGGGCTAATTATTTCCCACTACTGAGGCAAGATCTTTCTTTGTGTTCTGTGCAGTGCCCCATGACATCAATCATGAGTTTTTCTAGTCCAGGTGGTGGGGAACATGCTGTTTTTAGTCCTGTCATGGGTTCCCAGTACTGTTCTCTGTAATCATTTTCTGTATTTCTTTCCTTAGTCTCATGTAGTGGTATGGTTAGGTGTTGTGTCCTCCCCCAAATCTCATCTTGAATTGTAATCCCCGTAATCCCTACGTGTCCAGGGAGAGATGTGGTAGGAGGTGATTGGATCGTGGAGGCAGTTTCTCCTTTGATGTTCTCATGGTAGTGAGTTCTTACGAGAGCTGATGGTTTTATAAGGGACTCTTCTCCCTTTGCTCCTCACTCTTTTCACTCCTGCTGCCATGTGAGAAGATCCAAGCTTGCTTTGCCTTCTGCTGTGATTGTAAGTTTCCTGAGGCCTCCTTAGCCATGTGGAACTATGAGTCGATTAAACCTCTTTCCTTTACAAATTACCCAGTCTTGAGCAGTGTGAAAACTGACTGATCATGTAGTTTCTTCACACACACACACACACACACACACACACACACAGTCCTTTCCTAAGCTAAGTACTTAAAAGAGACACCCTGCAGATCTCCAGGGCTTTCTCTCTGCAGCTCTCTCCGCTCTGGTACTCTGTTCTGGGATTTCTAGCTCTCTTGATTTCCCTAGACTCTTAGCTTCATCTTCTCAAATGAGGGACTATACTGGGCCTGGGAACTCACTCAAGGCATGAAGTTGGAGCTGTTCTAGGATTTACCTTGTTTGTTTTCTGATATTCAGAGACCACTTTTCTTTATTGCTTGATGTTCAGTGTGTTGAAAACACTATTGATCCATATATTGTGTTTGTTTTTATAGTTGTTTCAGGTAGGGGGATAAGTCTGGTTCCTGTTACTCTATCATGTCCAAAGTGTAAGTCTCCCAGATAGCTACTTTAAATTGGATGATTAAATATGCTCTCAGTGGAGTTGTCCTTTAAGCTGAGATTTGAATGACAAGAGTCAGCTGCATGAAGAACTGAGAGAAGAATATTGTGGCATTGAGAAAAGTTAGCTCAAGACCCTTAGGTAAGAGTGAACTTGGCCTGTTAAAGGAACAAAATGGAGGCAATCTGTGTCTGAATGGAGGGCAGGAGTGATGTGACATGCTCTCAAAAGGGTACATGGGGGCCTCTGGTGAGGAGTTAAGATTTAAACCTAAATATGGGAATTTGTGGAAGAGTATAAAACAGGCAATGACATAATCTAGTTTGTATTTTAGTACCATGATTCTGGCTGCTTTGAGGATAATGGATTGTAGGGGTTGCAGAGTAGAAGCAGTGAGATTGGATAATAGGTTATTACATTAGTCTAGAGCTATATTGTCCAATACTGTATAGCCACTAGCCACAAGTGGCTTTTAAAATTTTAATATACATTAATTAAATTTAAAGAAAAATTCAGTTCCTCAGTCACACCAGCCATATTCCAGGTGTTTAATAGCTACATATGGCTAGTGACTATCTTATTGGACAGCAGAAATTATAGATTTCATCATTGTAGAAAGTTCTGTTGGACAGCACAGTCTGGAGAGATTTTGGCTTTGGAGTAGTGTGGAGGTGTAGAGTTGAATACAGTGAATAGATTTGAAACATGTTTTGGGCTTAACTGACTTGCTGGTATAATGAATCAGGAGTAACTCCAGGGTATTTAGCTTGTGCTACTTGATGGATGAGGCTGATTAGGGAAGGAGCAGGGTAGTTGGAGGTTTGTGAATTAATAGTTGTACTTTTGCCACGTTAAATGTGAGATACTTATTATCCATGTGGTTCTGTTTAGGTGGCAGATTTAAGAGTTCGGTATTCAAGGGAAAAGGCATGACTGATTTCGTAGTATATTATGCTTCTAGGGCTGCATAACAAAATACCACAAACTTGGTGGCTTAAACTGCTGAAATTTTTTTTCTCACAGTTCTAGAGACTAAAAGGCTGAGATCAAGGTATCAGCAGATGGTTCTCTTGAGCCCTCTCTCCATGGCTTATAAACCGCTGCCTTCTTGCTCTGTCCTCATATGGCCTTTTCTCTGTTCACATGCATCCCTGGTATTTCTTCCTCCTCTTATAAGGACACCAGTCCTGTTGGATTAGGACCCCACCCTTATGACCTCACTTAACCTTAATTACCTCTTCAAAGGCCCTGCTTCCATATACAGTTACATCAGGGTTAGGGCTTCAACATAGGACTTTTCGAAAGGACACAGTGCAGTCCATAGCAGGGAGTAATCAGCATACAGATGCTATCTAAAGTCATAGGAGTTAAGGGAAATGTGTATGTAGGAAAGAGGAGATAGCCTAATATGGAGCTTAGGCACAGTGAGCAAGAGGTCAAGCAGAGGAGGTAGCGTCAGTGAGGGAGACTGAAAAGAAGCAGAATTGGGGCAAGGGGGAAAAAAGAGAGAATGTGGTACCCTGGAAGAGAAGAACGTGTTGTCAGGATGGAGCATTTTTCCACTTGGGCAGCATGCTGCTAAGGCTCTGGGGCAGGAAAGAGTGTAGAATGTTAGGGAACTGAAAGAAGACCAGGGTGGCTGGAGTATAGGGAGTGAGTAGTAAGGGATGTAGTGGAAGAAGTGGTAAGGGGCCTTTAAGACTTTGATAAAGGTGTTTGTTTTAATCCAGAAGAAATAGGCAGCCATGGGAGGGTTTTAAGCAGTGGAATGCAAGACTCTAGTAAGGATTTGTGTTTTAAAAAGATCAAATTTGGCTATTGTGTGGAGAACAGTTTGGAGGGGAAATCAATAAGACGTGATCACTGATGGGGATTAAGGGGATGGTGTGAGAAGGTGTCAAGGCTGAATGGTTGCATCCTTTATTGAGGTAGGTGATGCTGGAGGAAGATTGTGGGAATGGCATGGGGAGGTTATGAGTTTATCTTGAGACCTAGCTAGTTTGAGGTACTAAGAGATATTTCTGTTTACAGGAGCATGATGCTTTTTCTTTTAAGTCTAGAACCTTTTTGTAAAGTAGAACTGGAGAGAATTTTAGTTTAGTGTTTGCATTTTTATCCCAACATAATTAAAGGAAACTTCAGAACAGATACATAAATTATAAAACTAGAGGGTCACAATTGTTTAAGATCTTAAACACCCAAAGGAATATGCTGGTAACTACTTGTATATATGCTATTTTCTTTATTTTATTATTATTATTTTTTTATTTGACATAGAGTCTCGCTCTGTTGCCCAGGCTGGAGTGCAGTGGCGTGATCTCGGATCACTGCAACCTCTGCCTCCTGGGTTCAAGCGATTCTCCTGCCTCAGCCTCCCCAGTAGGTGGGATTATAGGCATGTGCCACCATGCCTGGCTAATTTTTGTAATTTTAGTAGAGACAGGGTTTCACCTTGTTGGCCAGGCTGGTCTCGAACTCCTGACCTCAGGTGATCAGCCCTTCTTGGCCTCCCGGCCTCCCAAAGTGCTGGGATTATAGGCGTGAGCCAGGTACCTGGCCTTATATGCTATTTTCAGTTGTTACCAGTAGAGAATTTTTAAATACTGGTGGTTAACAAAAAGGTAAATACAAATGATTTTATTAGGTATAAACCTGTTCATTTAGTAGGACTCGTGGTTATTGCATCAGTATTTAAACATCTTGAATATTAGATAATTGACTAAGTTTGGGAAATGATTTAAATGGTAATAATTTTGCTATAATAGGCCATAGATTATGTTTTTTTTTTCCTGCGCTGATTTGGAAATAGTTTTTTGAAATTTTTACCTATTTTGGAGATTCTCCAAAAGTAAATCAGTGGTGAGAAAATTTAGGTAACATACTTCTAATATACAAAACATTGTGTCATCAAATACTTCACTGACTTCTATAGAAATGAGACATGAAGGTTTTGAAAAATACCCAAGTTAGTACAGTTTATTATAGCAAGTCTTTTGTGATATTGATTGCACTGTATAGTACTTAGTTTAATAATATTTGTAATGTATATTCAAGCTCCAGAGAGAAATGATTGTGTGATCTACAGCAAAGAGGTTATATTTATCTTTTTCATTTGAATCACCATTATCTCTTTTTGTTACATTTAATTACAGGACTGTTCCCTGATGTGGGTGGAGGTTATTTCTTGCCACGACTTCAAGGAAAACTTGGTTACTTCCTTGCATTAACAGGATTCAGACTAAAAGGAAGAGATGTGTACAGAGCAGGAATTGCTACACACTTTGTAGATTCTGAAAAGGTACTTTTTCGGATGTTTGCATTTTGTATTGTTGGAATAACAAGACAAAATAGTGCGTGGGAAGGTACAGTGGGTGGTTGAGATCCACAGACTTTTGGTGAAATCGTGGTGTGAATCCTGGACCTCTTAGTTTATAGCTGTGTTACCTTGGAGAAAGTGCATACGCTCTCTAATTCTGTTTCCTCATATGCAAACTGGAGATAATGATACCTGGATTCAGGGTTGGTACCTTCAGTGAGTATTTTTAAGTGAACAAGTAGAGTCTCTTAAATCAAAAGTCATGCCTACCTTAAGAAAGTCTAATATGTACAAATCTAAATTTATATATAAAAAGATAGCCTTTATTTGAAGACATTTTGAAGGCTTCTTTTGGTTATGAGTTTCCCTAGTGCATTGAAAGTAATTGACTTTGGCTTTTCTGAAATACATCTGTTACAAGGAACACATGTTACTTATCTTTGCTTTTTTTTAAAAAAAAAAACAAAAACAAAACCAGTGTGGCCAATTTTCTCAGCACAGGATAACATAGTGGAAAAGAATATGTAAATAGTCTGAGTTTAAATCTTAACTGGAACTTAGCCTCTTTTGACCCCCATTTTCCCATCTGCAGAATGGAGATGACACTATTACATAGTCATTGAAACTCCTTGTGTTACATGTGACAGAAGACCCAATTCAAGGTAGTTTTGCCTCAGAATTCCCAGCAAGAGACTTAGTATGTATTTTGCTTCACCTGGCTTAGTTCACTCTGACTGAACTGGCTTATCTCATTCCTGAACCATATGAGTAGGTAGAATATACCTTCTGGCCCATCCTAGGTAATGCATGCTCTATCCTTGGATCTGTGGGGTAAAGTCAGCTTCCAAGGAAGCACATGGTCATCAGATCAATAGTTGATCTGAAAGGAAGGGTGTTTTAGGATATGGGAAGGAAAGCTATAAAATTAAATTAGAAAATTTATGTTACATGCTTAGCCCAGTAACTGACGTATAGTAAACACTCCAAATTTAATTATTATTAATACTTTTAATGCAGTTTTATATTTTTAGAGGTGACCAGATTTTTCATTGAGAGTCTCTTTTATATTACAAAGGATGACACTTTTTATCCTCATATCTGTAACATTCTTCTGTTTTGGGTAAGGATGCCAGAGATCATACTGACAGTTGGACTATCATGTGAGTCCCCCCAAGGACGTTTTACAAATGATGATGGTTTATTCTCACACGTCCTCTTTGGCCATTGAAGTAAAACAGCTGGATAGTATAAAAATGTACTGTTTGGTCACTAATAGAATTATCTTCACAAACTTTATAAATTGGCTGTGGAAATTTTTATGTTGATGAGCTTTGATCTTGCTTCTCACACTGTTACAGATTCTGTAAAATGTATGAAGCATACAAAATTGAAGGTTGTCTCTGTACACTGTTATGAAGGCCTTCTGTCACGTTTGGCCGAAGATTCAGATCTTTGTGTTGTGGGCATCCTCAGTCACATTGAGTAATCTCATGCTTCCCTTGAGCTATAACAGGAAGCAAACATGGGCATGCGATTATCCTGTCTGAAAGGGACACCCTTAATTACAGTGGAATTTAGTTTAGAATAAGAGAGAGCTGATGCATAACCCCTTTCTTTGTCAGTGTGTTCAATACTAGTATCTGCAGTGAGTAGACAGACATCCTCAGGGCCTGTAGAGGATATGAAAAAGAGAAATATACTTTGGGGATGCAATTAGAAGTGGGTACAAAAGATAAATAACCATCTTTCTCATCTGGCAGAGGTAAAGTGGTAGGTGTAAAAACAATACAAAGAAAATACTCAAAGAATTGAAAGGAGGAAGAGCTTACCTGTAAGAAAGGACTAGAAGCCTTTTCATAAAGGTTGCAATACAGCCAGCCTTAAGGTGAGTATTATCAGGAAAAGGTATTGTCAGGTAAAGGAAACTTTTAATGAAATCACAGGGGCAAGAAAGCATTAGCTATGTTTGGGGAATAGTAAAAAGTCCTATTCGGCTCAGTGTAGGGTAGATTAAGTGAGGGATTAGATGGAGAAATAAGTGAAGCTGCATTATAGTGTTGTGCGTTGACTGTGGTAGCCACTAATCATTTGTGGCAATTTTGGTTAATATTAATTAAAAATAAAATAAAATTTATGATGTAGGTCTTTGGTTCCAAGTACTCAATAGGCTGAGAGAAATAAAGATAAATGTCTCTATTTCTCCTCCTTAATTTCTTCCATCTTTTTTAATTCCTTTGAAGGCTAGATTTGCTGTATGGGAATACCTGTTCATTCAACTTAAGTCAAAATTTCTTTCAGTGATTTACCTGAAGAGAGAGCATCATAATTTAAAGTCAAGAATTCTAAAAAAGAAGATGAGATTTTATAAAACTTTCTGTTTCTGTTGGATCTCAGATCTTTCCTTTTTTTCCCCCTCCCCTTTAGTTGGCCATGTTAGAGGAAGATTTGTTAGCCTTGAAATCTCCTTCAAAAGAAAATATTGCATCTGTCTTAGAAAATTACCATACAGAGGTAATCTTGTTAATATTCTAACCTCAGGTTTTAATTCATGGAGAGGGGAAGTAATTTAAAAACTAGCAATTGGTGAATATTATAGTTTGTAAATATAAGTAAATGTACTAAGGATTTATTTAAAGCGTGGTAGAAGAATCAGTGCTTCACAGTTGTTAGTATAGCCAGCTAATAAGATGACTTCTTTCCTGTGCAGCTGCATAGCTGTCTTCCCACTGCTGGTTAACTTCAGTGCATAACCTTGTGATCAATCTTTGCAAGGGTTTTGGCATTTCTGTAAAAGGTGTTCAATGTTAACGCTATTTGTGGAGCTGTAAACTCTTGACATTTATTTATATTTAATAAAGTATATTACGGCATGTATTTTTAATTCCTTACGTTGTCTGACTTAAATTTTCTTGTAAGAGCCAAGAATCTTTAAAAACACTCTATAACTTCTAGTTAAACATGATTGAATACATCCTGCCTCCTAAAACACCATTCAAAATTGTAATAAGTGAATAAAAAAGGCACAAACCCACAAAGACAAGTAGAACAGAAGAGGAGACAGTGGCAGACATGAGATGTTAGTATTTTGGAAGCTTGAAATCAGCAGGATGAGCGCTGCTAACTTAAACCAAAGAACTCTGAAAGCCAGTAGGAGGTCAGCTGATTCTTGCTGTAGACCCTTTTAAAGGGACCAAGTCCCTCTGAAGACTGGTGTGTAGAATGGGGCAGAAAAGCAGGAGGATTTACTATAAGTTTGGTTTTTTTTTTTGGTAACAATCTAGCTCTGTCACCCAGACTCGTGCGCAGTGGCGCAATCTCCATTCATGGCAACCTCCGCCTTCCAGATTCAAGTGATTCTCATGCCTCAGCCTCTTGAGTAACTGGGATTACAGGCATGCGCCACCATGCCCAGCTAATTTTTGTATTTTAGTAGAGACAGGGTGTCACCATGTTGGCCAGGCTGGTTTTGAACTTGTGACCTCAAATGATCCACCCTCCTCGGCTTCCCAAAGTGCTGGGATTACAGGCATGAGCATTGCGCTGGGCCCCTCCACAAGTCTTCTTGTACAACTAAGAGTAGCTGTCTTCCAGTAGCCTGGCAGAAGAGTAGGACTTACTCCTTAGAGAAACCAAATCAGGCAGGTCTAGCTGACAGTAGAGATTGGCGAAGAACTGTACTGAAGAGAGGTGAGACATACTGAATTGGAAGACCTCTGTCCCTTTTCCCTAGTTGGTTTGCAGAACCGCTGCATCCCACCCCACTCCTAAGCGATACATTGGAAGAAAAGAAAAACCCATAGACATTGAAATTAATGGACCCCTTAACACATCTTGCCTGATCATCTTACAGTGTATCATACAATTGAGAATCCCACAACTGCAATTGACATTAGACACAAAGCTTCCTAATTTTAGTGCTTTGCATAGAAAAACAAATATTCCTAGGCCAAAACAAACAACAAAGGCACTGGAAGGAAACAGTTAATGCAAGAAGAAGGAAACTTAAAAAGACAAACACCAATCTATAACTGTTATCTTGAGATAAGAGGAAAATATTTTACCTGTTAAACAACAACAGATGTTATAAAGATAATTCAAAGAATAATATAGGCATGCCTCAGATAATCTGAATTTGGTTCCACACCATGGCAATAAAGCTAGCTAGTCACATGAATGTTTTGGTTTTCCAGCACTCATAAAAACTTTTACACTGTACTATAGTCTGTTGAGTATGCAGGAGCATCATTTCTAAACACAGGTACATATCTTACTAATTTATAATTATAAAATAATTTGACTGAAAATACTAATGATCATCTGAGCTTTCAGTGAGTCATAATTGTTTTGCTGCTGGAGGGCCTTGCCTAGATGTTGATGGCTACTGGCTGACCTTGGTACTGGTTATGCCTGTAAAATTTTAAAAATGATAACAAAAGTGGGGAATAAAAAACCCAGAACAGATGAAAATCCGTCGTTGAGGAAAACTCTAACAGAAAAGGATAATGAAATAGAAAGGGAGAGAATGGAAAACTCTAGAGGTATTATTCCAAGAGGTCCAAAATCTAATTATTAGGAATGCATAATAGAGAAAATGGAGGGGAGGAAATATTTAGAGAAATAGTACCAAAAAAATTACCCAGAACTGAAGAACATGAGTACAGATTGGCAGGGCCACCAAGTACTTGGTGGAGAGAATATGAATACACAGCGCATGAGGATTTCACTTGTTTTTATCAGAGCATTTGATAGTCTCCTGCTGTCGAATTGAGTAAATATGGGATGAATTATGGTTTGTGGGGGTTGACGGGCTTATCAAAGAGTTCTACTAAATGTATAGGAGTTAGTTTGTAGGGAAGTCATCTTAGACTTATTCAGTATTTTTCGCAAGTGATTTGGAGACCACTGATAACATTTTGATCAAGTTGATTTAGAACTAAGAAAAATAAATTAGGAAAAAGAATATGGATGAAAAAAACAACCCTTAGAGTTTAGAGTGATCTGCCCAATAGTAACAATGTGAAATTTAAAAAAGATAAGTGCAAATCTTGTGTTTTAACCCAAAGTACTAAATTCATTAAGTACAGAATAGAAGAAACAGCCTACAATGGAACAGGTTAAAAAAAAAAAAAAAGTCTTATTTAATTGGAGCTTAGTGTGAATCAGTTGCAATCATAGGCCTGTCTCAACACTAACTCAGAGTTAGTCCAATTAAGAAAAGTATATCCAAAGCAATCAAGGGCCTGCAGAACCCTCTTGTACTTTGCTACCATCCAGCCACACTTGCAGCTAAGATAAGTGTCCTGTACTTGGGAGAATGACCTTGATAAACTGGAACTTGACCATAAGAAGGACCTGGATCATGAGGGGACACAAAATTGTGTCATGTGAGAAGTGGTTAAGGTGAAACAGATTAACTAGAACTATAAACACGGTAGCATTGGTTTTTGTTCCAGAATTAACAACAGAAACCTCATTACTCGTTGTTCCAGCATTTGTGAGCTCCTCCTTGAGAGGTGCTGTTTACTCTCCCTGAAGGTCAGAGCTGCAGGCATACCAGGCATATGGTGGGAATTTCTGACTAGGATGGAAATTTGGGCAGGTTGATCTTTCAGGTCCCTTACAATCCTTAAATTCACAGATATATTTTAATGATAATGTGTTAAATGTAATAGTGGTTACATATATTTATACATGTAAATAATAATACTAAAACATTTTTGCTGTTGATACTTTTAAGAGCTAGTCTAGAGTTCTACATGCTGTCTGAATTTTGATCATACAGTGGTAGTTAGTTATGAGACAGTTAGATGTAATTTGAAAGTGACAAGTGACAATCTTTCACAAAGGGTATCATTAAATATGAATTTTTAAGGATTAAAAAAGTGTGTTCAAAGTTACTAAAAAATTTTTCTTTTCAAACAGTCTAAGATTGATCGAGACAAGTCTTTTATGCTTGAGGAACACATGGACAAAATAAACAGGTACCTAAAAAGAGATCTCAGTTATATATTCCTTTGGAAAGACTATGTTAAAATGAATTTACTAACATTGTAATTACCATTTTAATTACACTGTGTTTGATAGTGCACTGAATTCTGAGATCAGATAGTATAGCGTTTTCTTTCCTTCCTTTCCTTTCCTTTTTTTTCTTTTCTTTTTTATTTTCCTTTCTTCTTTCTTTTCTTTCTTTCCTTTCTTTTCTTTTTTTCCTTTCTTTCTTTCTTTCTTTCTCTCTCTCTCTTTCTTTCTTTTCTTTTCTTTTCTTTTCTTTTTTCTGTCTTGTCTTGTCCTGTCCTGTCCCTCGCTCCTTCCCCCAGGCTCTGTCCCCCGGGCAGTGGTACAATCTCAGCTCACTGCAACCTCCACCTTCCGGGTTCAAGCAGTTCTTATGCCTCAACTTCCTGAGTAGCTGGGACTACATGCACCTGCTACCATGCCTGGCTAACTTTTGTATTTTCAGTAGAGACAGGGTTTTGCCATGTTGGCCAGGCTGGTCTCCAACTCCTGATCTAAGGTGATTCGTCCTCCTCAACCTCTCAAAGTGCTGGGATTGCAGGCGTGATGCCTGGCCAGCATAGGACTTTTTTTCACTTACCTTTGAAAGTAGCTTCTTTCCCTCTCTTTCTGGACGAAATAAATTCATTATATTTAAGTCATCTACCATGAGAATTCATCCTAGTACAAAATACCTTTTTTTTTTTTAAGTGGGGGAAGAGCAGCTAGAAAATAATTGAATTAACTTTTATTTTTGTAAATTCGTCTTCTCTGAAGATCTTAACAAGCTGAACAGTAAAAAGATTTTGTGCAGTGATTTGAATTTATATTTGTACAAAATATCTTTTTTTTTGAAATGGGGAAGAGAAGCTAGAAAATAATAATTGAATTAATTTTTACCTTTTTAAATTCATCTTCTCTGAAAGTCTTGATAAGCCGATTAGCAAAAAAGGTTTTGTGCAGTGATTTGAGAGATTGACAGACTGGCTTTGGGAAACAGGAGGAAAAGTATTAGAAAATAAGACAACCATCTCTACAATTTAGAAGCATCGATGTTTGATTGTTGAATTATCTCTTTATATGGAAATATAATAGATGCAAAAATGCAAAAGAAAATAAAATTTAGATTTTATTTTGTTAGTGAAGGTAGACTGCAAATGCTTACCCAGGGAAGCAGTGCTCTCTCTCTTTTTACGTCCTGTTAAAGAAGTTAGACAATTCTTCATTATTGAAACAGAGGTGTGGGAAAGCCTATGTTCAGATTCATCAGTATGTTAGAAATAGGAAATCACTTACACATTGGTGAAGTCACATTTCCTTTTTTTACAGTTGTTTTTCAGCCAATACCATGGAAGAAATTATTGAAAACTTAAAGCAAGATGGTTCATCTTTTGCCCTAGAGCAATTGAAGGTAATATTGGAATCCTTTCTGTCCTGACTGAACACAGTGAAGTCCGGTGACAGGGAAGCCTCTCTAAGGGGGTATTCGTGCTCCATTGGTGGTGACATAGCCCACGCATTGTGTTTTCTTTTTTCCCAAATTTAGGTGAGCTTCAGAAATCAGTTCTACTAACCTTGACCTAAATCCAAGTGCCACGTCTACCTGCTGGTTGTTCAGGGCAAAGCCAATCTAGTTTTATGTCCTTTGAATGTAACAGAGGACTTTAGTAAGCATGCTTCATTTCCAAATAGTCCTCCTTGTCTTATGGAGGAAGGTTTTTAGGGACACTTTAATTAGAAGGGCTGGGTCACTGGAGAATAGTCACCTTATGATACATTGCAATTGTGACATCGATCTATAAATTCTACTTAATATGGTCTTTCTAAACAGGAGGTTTAATTAAAAAGCGATGGTTTTAAACAAGTGAGAGACTCCATCTCTTGCCATAGCTGAGTCTTATGTAGAGTTTCTGTGTTAGGTACACTTTGATCTTTTTGGCACATAACTGTTAGGAGAAGAGCCATTTTTGTATAAATGTGTACATACTAGGTATTGACATTCATGGACCTCTAGTATGATTATGAAACTTGGAGTATTTCAGACTTCTGGACAAAGGAAAGAAAAGGTATGTTTCCTTTTACTTAAAAGGTGTTTTAGCTTGTCTTCATCTGATTGCATTTTTCATATATATATATAAAATTACTTTAAGCTCTACATCATGATTCCATAATGTTTTTCTGTTTATAGATGTAATCATAGCATTTCAGTTGTCAGGAAACATATTGAGAAAAAATTTTAATAGTCTTACCTGTAAAAGTGAAAACATTTCCTCCATTGTCACTGTATTTTTTTGTTTGTTTTCCTTTTTTTGAGACAGAATCTTGCCCTGTTGCCCAGGCTGGAGGACAGTGGTGCAATCACAACTCACTGCAGCCTCAGCCTCCCAGGCTCAAGCAATCCTCACACCTCAGCCTCCTGAGTAGCTGGGACTATGGGCGTGTGCCACCACGCGTGGCTAATTTTTTGTATTTTTTTGTAGAGACAAGGTTTCACCATGTTGGCCAGGCTGGTCTCGACCTCCTGGGCTCAAGTGATTCACCCACCTCTGCTTCCCAAAGTGCTGGGATTACAGGCGTGAGCCACCACACCGGGCCTTTTACTGTATTCTTAGGGGGGAAATCCAAAGTTAATTTGTCCCATGGGATCTTATACAGTATTAGAATTTTATTAACTTTCAAGGATAGGCATAAATTAGAGCAGGTAGACCAGCCATTTATTTCCCTAACTCACAAAAGTAGATTATTATTGTTAACAACTTCCAGGAATGTTTGCGTAGTCATTTTGTAATTCAAGGAATCTGACTTTAAGTTGGTGTATTAGGGTTCTCTAAAGGGAAAGAACTAATGGGAGATATGTATATAAAGGGGAATTTATTAAGTATTAACCTGCATGATCACAAGGTCCCCCAGTAGGCTGTCTACAAGCTTAAGGAGCAAGGAAGACCAGTCTGAGTCTCAAAACTGAAGAACTTGGGGTCTGATATTCAAGGGCAGGAAGCATCCAGCATGGGAGAAAGATATAGGCTGGGAGGCTAGGCCAGTCTCTCCTTTTCACATTATTCTGCCTGCTTTATATTCTCTGGCAGCTGATTAGTTTGTGCCCATCAGATTAAGGGTGGATCTGCCTTGCCCAGCCCACTGATTCATATGTTAATCTCTTTTAGCAACAGCTTCACAGACACACCCAGGATCGATACTTTGTATCCTTCAATCCAGTCAGATTGACACTCAGTATTCACCATCACAAGTCCACCCCTTGTCAACTTGAACCCATACACATCTCCTGAGGCTTCAAATAAAGACAATAATAAGGTCATAATTATGCCTAACATAATGCAACTATCCTTTGTACAACCAGAAACGCACCAATTCCAAACCCAAATACTATTACGTAAAGTTAGCAGTACTTCAATGCTAATATGAAGTCAGTAAATCTTATGTCACATGATAAAGGAAAAGGAAATAAAGATATTTTCTTAGTATAAGTATATACATGCACAAACATGTGTTTAGCAAAAGGTGGAGGAAATACTCATGACAATTACAGTCTCCATTTCTGTGGCTGATCACATGGTTGTAACTAGTATTGATGACTACCTTCTTCTACTACCCATTCTGTATTCCCTGTGTCTTTAGCAAGCACCTCACATCAACAAAAAGTACACCCACACAAAAAACCCCATTCAGAAGCCATCAGCATCAAAGATCAAAGGTAAATAAACACACGAAGATGAGGAAAAGCCAGTGCAACAATGCTGAAAATTCCAAAAACCATAATGCCTCTTCTCTTCCAAATAAATGATTACAATTCCTCTCCAGCAAGGGCACAAAACTGGATGGAAATAAGTTTGATGAATTGACAGAAGTAGGCTTCAGAAGGTGTGTAGTAACAAACTCCTCTGAGCTGAAGGAGCGTGGTCTAAACCAATGCAAGGAAGCTAAGAACCTTGATAAAAGGTTATAGGAACTGCTAACTAGAATAACCAGTTTAGAGAAGAACATAAATCTTGAAGAACAAGTATCAGTAATCGAATCAATCAGGCAGAAGAAGGGATATCAGAGATTGAAGATCAACTTAAATGTGAAGACAAGATTAGAGAAAAAAGAATGAAAAGGAATGAACAAAGCCTCCAAGAAATGTGGGACTATGTGAAAAGACCAGACCTACGATTGATTGGTGTACCTGAAAATGACAGGAGAATGGAGCCAAGTCGGAAAACACACTTCAGCATATTGTGCAGGAGAACTTCCCCAATCTAACAAGACAAGCCAACATTCAAATTCAGGAAATACAGAGAACACCACAAAGATACTCCTTGAGAAGAGCCACCCCAAGACACATAATCTTCAGATTCTTCAAGGTTGAAATGAAGGAAAAAATGTTAAGGGCAACCAGAGAGAAAGGTAGGGTTACCTACAAAGGAAAGCCCATCAGACTAACAGCAGATGCCTGTGCAGAAACCTTACAATCAGAAGAGAGTGGGGGCCAATATTCAACATTCTTGAAGAAAAGAATTTTCAACCTAGAATTTCATATCCAGCCAAACTAAGCTTCATAAGTGAAGGAGAAAGGAAATCCTTTCCAGACAAGCAGATGCTGAGGGATTTTGTCACTACCAGGCCTGCATTGCAATAGCTCCTGAAGGAAGCACTAAATATGGAAAAGAAAAACTGGTACCAGCCACCACAAAAACATACCAAATTATAAAGACCACCAACACTATGAAGAAACTGCATCAACTAATGGGCAAAATAACCCACTAGCATCATGATGACATGATCAGATTCACACATAATAATATTAACCTTAAATGTAAATGGGCTAAATGCACTAATTAAAAGACACAGACTAGCAAATTGGATAAAGAGTCAAGACCCATCAGTGTGCTGTATTCAAGAGACCCATCTCACATGCAGAGACACATACAGGTTCAAAATAAAGGGATGGAGGAATATTTACCAAGCAAATGGAAAGCAAAAAAGCAGGGGTTGCAGTCCTGGTCTCTGATAAAACAGACTTTAAACCAAAAGCAATAAAAAAAGACAAAGGCATTACATAATGGTAAAGGGATCAATATAACAAGAAGAGCTAACTATCCTAAATATAGATGTACCAATACAGGAGCACCCAGATTCATAAAGCAAGTTTTTAGAGACCTACAAAGAGACTTAGACTCCCAGACAATAATACTGGGAGACTTTAACCACCCTACTTTCAATATTAGATCAATGAGACAGAAAATTAACAATGATATTCAGGACTTGAACTCAGTTCTGGACCAAGTGGACCTAATAGACATCTATAGAACTCTCTACCCCAAGTCAACGTAATATCCATTATTTTCAGTACCACATAGCACTTATTCTAAAATCAGCTATATAATTGGAAGTAAAACACTCCTCAGCAAATGCAAAAGAACGGAAATCATAACAAACAGTCTTTCAGACCACAGTGCAATCAAATTAGAACTCAGGATTAAGAAACTCACTCAAAAACACAAAATACATGGAAAGTGAACAACCTGCTCCTGAATGACTACTGGGTAAATAACGAAATTAAGGCAGAAATAAATTAAGTTCTTTGAAACCAATGAGAACAAAGATACAATGTACCAAAATCACAACACAGCTAAAGCAGTGTTTAGAGGGAAGTTTATAGCACTATATACCCACATCAGAAAGTGGAAAAGGTCTAAAATCGACACCCTTACATCACAGTTAAAAGAACTAGAGAAACAAGAGCAAACAAATTAAAAAAATAGCAGAAGACATGAAATAAGCAGAACTGAAGGAGATAAAGACACAAAAAAACCCTTCAAATAATCAATGAATCCAGGAGGTGGATTTTGAAAAGATTAACAAAATAGACCACTAGCCAGGCTAATAAGAAAAGAGAGAAGACTCAAATAGACACGATAAAAAAAAATGATAAAGGGGATATCACCACTGATCCCACAGAAATGCAAACTACCATCAGAGAATGCTATAAACACCTCTCCACAAATAAACTAGAAAATCTAGAAGAAATGGATAAATTCCTGGACACATACACCTTCCCAGGACTAAACCAGGAAGAAGTCGAATCCCTAAATAGACCAATAACAAGTTCTGAAATTGAGGCAATAATTAATGGCCTACCAATCAAAAAAAGCCCAGGACTAGACAGATTCACAGCCGAATTCTGCCAGAGGTACAAAGAGGAGCTGGTGCCATTCCTTCTGAAAATATTCCAAACAATACAAAAAGGGGGACTCCTCCCTAACTCATTTTATGAGGCCAGCATCATCCTGATACCAAAACCTGGCAGAGACACAAGGGTAAAAAAAATATTTCAAGGCTGGGTGCAGTGGCTCACACCTGTAATCCCAGCACTTCAGGAGGCTGAGGTGGGCAGATCACCCGAGGTCCAGA